AGGAGTAATAAAAAAAAAAAAAAAAAAAAAAAAACAGCTCCCCTCGTAGACCAGCTGCCTGTTGCTTTGTGCTGTTGCTTCTGAGAGAGATGGCAGCAGTCCCTGCCTGGTATGGGGTCTGAGCTCCCAGACCCAGTATAAGCCAGAACTGAGCTGAACTGCCTGCCTGCCCTGCTCTTAATATACTTGAAATGCAGAGCTGAAATCGGGGTAAGTCCCAGATCCAGCCAAAAACAGCTCCCCTCGTAGACCAGCTGCCTGTTGCTTTGTGCTGTTGCTTCTGAGAGAGATGGCAGCAGTCCCTGCCTGGTATGGGGTCTGAGCTCCCAGACCCAGTATAAGCCAGAACTGAGCTGAACTGCCTGCCTGCCCTGCTCTTAATATACTTGAAATGCAGAGCTGAAATCGGGGTAAGTCCCAGATCCAGCCGTGAGCCAGGACTGAGCTGGGCTGCTGGCCAGCCTGCTAAAACATTTACTGGCAGGGAGAGAGAAATGCGTGTAGTCTATAGCATTAACCTATAAGCTTTTGCTTACTGGTTAATTGACTACACTATTACATCCCTATTCCATGCACATCCCATTTTCATGGCACAACCAAACCCTTACCTTGCTTTAAGTTATGATAAGAGAAAGCCACCTACCAAATTTGGTTGTCCTAGTTTTTACCATTTAGGAGGGTAATTCTTGAACAGACACACACATTCACGGACAGAGAAACTCTCTTGAATACATATTTGATTACAAAATACCCCTTTTAATATAAGAAAGTTTCCCTAGCACAGAAATGCCATGCTGTGAGGAACAGGCAAAGGTTTTATGCTATCGTTCGTTAAGCTTCCTCGACACAACACCAAGGAACAAAAGTGGACTTTGTTCAGATTCATAAAACTTAGCATTTCCTTCAGATGATAAATGGCTCAACTTTTAATGCCTCTCTGTTCTGCTTCTTGGAACAGCCTCAACAATTCCAGCCACACCCAACTCTTTTCTCTGATCCAGAAGAGAGGAGACTCTGGAATATTAATCACACCCTTTTTTTGTTATGAAGGCGGATAAGATAGTGTTGCTGCTACCCTACCTGTCCTCTCCCTAAGTATAATGGAAGTATTTTTGCAATCTGTTTGTGATGTTTCTTCCTGATGTGATTCCAACAGAGATGTGGGGGAAAGAGCTGCCTTTGGACACAACAAAAAAATGCTATGCTGTACCAGTCTCCCTTTTAGCATGAGGGGAGGAGAGAAGAGGAGGTGCATCACAGTAACTATTCAGATAGCCACTGTACATTATGGGAGATGAAATGCAGCTGGAGAGCTTAGTCCAAAGAGAATTTAATTACAAAACTTCATTTTCTTTCAAAAAGATTTTTCTACTAGTAGTTTTAATCTTACTTTGACAAGATTTCAATACCATAAGTCACTAGGAAGAACACCCAAATCAAATGCCCTGGAATAAGGACAGTAAGTGGCAGGTCAAGAAACCAAGCTATCCATATGATACCAGCTCTTTCCTTTGCAAGTATAATGAGAGAGAGAGAAAAAAATATATAGACAGACCTTTCCTTTGCAAGTATAATGAGAGAGAGAGAGAAAAATATATAGACAGACCGACCAACGGACCAATCTATTTCCCCTACCTTTGGTCTTGATGGCTGTTTCAATAGCTGCAGCATCTCTGTCAGCATCAAAGTTCGCGTATGCCTTGACAGTGGCATATGCAGTTGGAGGAAGAGAATGCTGAGATTTAAAAAAAAAAAAAAATTAAAGTTTTACACTTTGCTTGTGGTTAATTTATTATTTCCAAAAGGTGAAGTATCACAGAGTCACATTTTCCCAATATGCACCTGTGGACAATCTATTAATGTAACTGGAATTCAGCTAAGTGCCATTGCATTTGACCTTTTGAATATATTACTGTTCCAGGAACCCACGCACAGGTGTGTATTTGTCATTAGAGAAAGCACACACAAATGGGCATAACATCATTGGGGGTAGGAAGTAGTTATTCTGAGGACATTTCACCCTTAAAAATCTTAACTTGCCTAGACAGAATTCAAAGAAATTCATTCCTTCTGGTCATTTGGAAAAGATGAAAAAAGTTGAGTCAAAATGACAAAGCTCAAGAAATTTCAAACAGATAGTCTGCCTTCAATTTATATCACTCACAATACCATGATGGAGGTAATTGGAATTAATAGCGAATAAGTTATGTACAGTGTAGCAAATTCTGTGTTCTATACTCCTGATGGATTTTACAGGAGCAAAACAATTTTAGCATTATTTTCAAGGTATTGCATCTTGAAAAGCATCCCAGTAACCACACAAGGAATTTTGAAATGCTTGAGGCCTGATTTCCACCCAATTTCTTTTCAACACTTATTTCTTTTGGACTCTTCCTTTAAACTCTTTAAGGCAGTGGCTCTCAACCTTTCCAGACAACTGCCCTCCTTTCTGGAGTCTAATTTGTATTGCATATTCCAAGTTTCACCTCGCCTTAAAAAAAGTTACTTGCTTACAAAATTGGGCACAAAAATGCAAAAAATGTCACCACACTGTTACTGAAAATAATTCCTCATTCTCTCATTTTTATAATTATAAAATAATGCAATTGAAATATAACTAGTGTACTTAAAATTTCAATGTATAGTATATAGAGCAGTATTAACAGGTCACTGTATGAAATTTTAGCTTATACTAACTTCACAACGGTTTTTATGTAGCCTGTTGTAAAACTAGGCAGCTATCTAGAGAAGTTGTACCCCTTGGGGTATGCAGAGGTCTTCCAGGAGCTACATGTAGCTGGTAGAAAACAATGCTTGAAGGTTAAGGTCAAACTGTTAAAGAAGGACACGTACACAAGGCAGTCTCAGAAGCACCACTGAAGTTGTCCACGGATGAGATATCTGCACACCTATTTACCTCGATTACAATGTCACACACACTGGCTGTGTCTAGACTGGCCAGTTTTTCCGGAAAATCAGCCGCTTTTCCGGAAAAACTTGCCAGCTGTCTACACTGGCTGCTTGAATTTCTGCAAAAGCACTGACTTCCTACTGTAAGAAATCAGTGCTTCTTGCAGAAATACTATTCTGCTCCTGTTCGGGCAAAAGTCCCTTTTGCGCAAAGCTTTTGCGCAAGAGGGCCAGTGTAGACAGCTCAGATTTGTTTTCCATAAAAAAGCCCCAATCACGAAAATGGCGATCGGGGCTTTTTTGCGGAAAAGTGCATCTAGATTGACCACGGACGCTTTTCCGCAAAAAGTGTGTTTTCGGAAAAGCATCCGTGCCAATCTAGACGCTCTGTTCCGAAAATGCTTTTAACGGAAAACTTTCCTGTTAAAAGCATTTCCGGAAAATTATGCCAATCTAGACGCAGCCACTATGTCCTCTTTTGAAAATCTGAGCTAAACAGCCTTTTCAATCAATGCAGTCAGAGTTTGGTCCAGAGCTACACCACAAGATGCACAATTTCCCAGAATCTATACATTTACTGCCAACAACAGTATGGACAATCTTAATGCACTTCTGGAGCAATTAGTGTGCCTGAAAGATTCTTACCACAAAGCCCATATGTTATAAAACACAAATTTGAAGACTATAGATGTTAAAATGCATTTAATCAAGTAAATGCTCAAAATTTCAGCAGTTACATGGTTACACGCAGGGTGACAGGAGCCAGTGCACGCAAAAGCCAGGCTCCTGCCTGCCCTTTCATGGTGCTGAAATAAGAGTTAATCTGGAACAGTTAATTTACTTTGAAGTCCCATTTCCTTTATTCTGGATTAATTTTCTTATATAGATAAGCCTTTTCTCCCTATAAGTCTGATGCAATAAGCATAAATATCACTTTTGGGACCACGTCAGACTAATCAGCTCTTTTGGTGTAAACAGTGCCCTGCACACCCAAAGAGTTAAATATCCCTTTGGGGAAATATGTTCTAGAAAGACTTGTTTTGGTTTTGATAGTAAACTGGCTGAATTCCTCTGCCTGGCCAACCAGAGCAAATAATTCAACTGTTCTAGCCTCTTTTAGTGCTTCTCTAATATTTGAGAGCAGCATAAAATTCTAATAGAACAGACCTCTTGATGCTATGTGGCAAGGCGCACAAGGGATGCACAGAGTTTTACAGAGATCTCCTGGGTCAGCTAAATACATGATAAGTCATCAAAGGTGGCATGTGAGGTCTCTACTAAGAAACAGCAGCTCACTAGTCATCCTAATCATTGTGAAATGTATCTATGTATAACATCTAAGAAGTTATGTATCTACTCTGGAAATTACATTCTTCAAGCCTTGAAATTAGAGGCAGGTCACCAGGAGGGGACATCTCTCTGACAGCTTCTATTCTGGCAGAGGGTAGTAGACATTTATCTTTCTGTCTGGTCATGTGGCTCACAAGGAGCCTATTTATGTACTGACTGAACCACCGGCTAATCAAAATTGTGAAATTGACAAGAGATTGTGAAATCTATACCAACGCGCGCACAGCAAGATGGTGTCTGGCCAAAATATAAAGATCAAAAAGACTGTTTTGTATATTGGGGTTGAAAGAGACACCCATGAGCCTTCATGTACTGGATTAGCTGGCAGCATGTTTTGTCTTACGAAAAAAAAGGAACAGTCAGGACCAGCTGAAAAACACTGGAAGGATTTTGGGGTCACGATCTACAGGAAATGAAAACATTCACTACAGTGTTAGAATTCAGTTGATGAATTTTACATGTTTCCATGACGTCCACTTGAAACCACTTGAATGTTTCTCTTTGTTAAATAACCTGCTGCTTGTTTTCACTATAAACACACCTAAGTGCAGTGTGTGAAGCAGAGAACTGATCTGAGTAAGTGATCTCAGGGTGCGTCTCCACTACTGGGTGGATCCTCACTGCAACAATAGAGCCACTGGGGGGCAATTTAGCAGATCTAGAGAAGAGCTGCTAAATCAACTGCTGATCACTCGGATGTGGCCTGTTACTCTAATGGAACAAGAGGAGTTCCACAGAAGAAACTCTCCAATTGACACAGCACAGTGTGGACCGCGCGGTAAGTAGAGCCATATGTCCACTTGAGTTATGTTACTAACGCAAGTAAAATTGCATAGCTTAAATCAACTTGTTCCCAGAGCGTAGACCTGCCCTAAGTGAAACTGGTAAGCTGGAACGTGCTGCTTCTTTGGGAGCAGTCAATCTGTGACTATTCTAGGTAGCCAGTGGATCAAGGCCTGGACACTTCAGGGAGACGTTCAGAGGACTGGGGGATTAGAGCATTCTATTGATAACCCACACAGAGACAGCGTGGAGCCTCTGAGGGGAGTGTTGTGTTGCCCAAGGCCGGTGAAATCAAGACCGACTCAGAGTAAGCACACACAAGGCTCTCTCGTGCTGAGGGCAGATGGTAGCATGATGCCTCATAACACAGAAAGGGTCATGGTATTCATTGCTTCAAAATTCCCTGATCTTGCGGAGCTTGTTGAGGGTAGATTTTAATGTGTGGTTGGACTGGACAATTCTCTGCTGTTATTTCAGTTTTCTGTTTTATTGGTTAGCTGAGAATGGCCAAAGAAAGTTTTTTAATGAGTCACTTGAACCTTTTTGCCACATTAACCCAGCTCCACTGCTCACTTGCATTAGGAGCAAGCAGAACTTAGCAAAAGCTCTCCCATACAGAGCAAAAGTATGGTAATTTACTTCATCACAAGCTCCAAAAATAGGAAAACAAAGTCAATACAGCTCGGCAAGTACCAGCCATGAAAATGAGCACAGTCAGAGGAAGCTACTGTTAACTCATTAGCAGTCAGAATTGCAGAGCTGGGATTCACTTCCTCCCTGATTACAATCATAGCAACCACAAATTCATGGCACAACATCCTGATATTTCACTGGGTCAGTTCAAGTACATGGAGCCTCACCCTTACCATTAATACAGTTGAGTCTCCGCCCTAATAAACCCTGGAAAGGAAATAAGACACGCGTTTAAGAGAAAGTCAAATCTCTTTTCTAGCTCCTCACAGTGATACTTACATCTCCTTCAAGGCTGAGCTTGCCTAGAATTTCATGGACTGTAGACATCTTGAAAGGAAACTGAGGGGGAAAAAAGAGAGAGAAGAGACTTCATATACATTTTTGTACGACGCACACTGCAACACATTAAACAAGCCCTCATATACAATCGTACCAACATTGGGACAATCCAGCAACAAGTAAGGGATTAATTCAATAGTATACAGCAAATGGCACACATAAATGGATAGGAATTAGTCTCCACTCTCTTATGTGGCAGTAAGTGACCATTGTCACTCAAATCTCTTTTACTGAGCTTTTAAAATTTAGTTAGTAAGTTTCAAGAATGCAGTGATGTTGCCCAAACTACTCCCATTTACACCCCTCAAAAAAATTCTCCTCCTCCTCCTCCCCTCAGACCCTCCCAGCCAAACAATGCTACTGCCCAGGCAAAGAAACCAAACTGGTCAGGTCTCCAATAAGTCAGAGAACTCCTACCAACAAAAAATTAAAAACACCTCAAATAGATTTCAAAATCAACCCCACCCATCAACTGAGGGCCACTTCCTAAAAATCTCTTATGAGTAATTACTGCTTTGCTTGAACACCACACCACACTAAGGATAATACATTAATGAATTTTTGAACACACACGACGACCAACTCTTTTTAGTACTGTATCAACAAATTTCTTTTAGAGCTTCTACACCTTTGGCCCAGATCATGGTCAGAAAGCAATTACAAACAACTGCTTAAAGCCAATGACCCGCAACTCAGAGGCTTGAAATATCCTGAAATTCAGAGAGGCCGTTTGCATTTTACAGAAGCAACTGATGTTACTTGATATGGAACATTGGGGCCAGAATGCCTGCCTAACTTCCCATTTGAATAGCTATGCAGTTTCCAATATTGCTACTAAAAATAATGATAAAAATTACAAGCTGGGCACAAATAATGATTAGCAGCATGATTTTCAGATCATAGGTAATAAGAACCCATCAAAATACAGACTCCAAAAGGAACATACAGTACAGTGCAGTGGGACAATACCCATCATTGTCGGGTGGAGCTTCCGTTGCCAAAAAGTTTGTACATTTCACATCACAGCCAGGGCAACAACTTCCCTCTCCGGAATATTTGATGATGCTAAGCTGGCCGAAATTTTCAAGCATCTAATATACTTCTAGATAGTCAAAAAATAAGCCTAATGTGCTTAGATCCTATAAACTACAAAAATGATTATTTTAATTGGAGAAGTTGATGCCATTATGTCATTATTTGCCCGACAAGTCTGGTTTTTCCGGAAATGTTTTTGCGCAAGAGAGCCAGTGTAGACAGCTAAAAACTATTTTGAGCAAAAAAGCCCCGATGGCGAAAATGGCGATCGGGGCTTTCTTGCGCAAAACCGCGTCTAGATTGGCACAGATGCTTTTCCGCAAAAAAGTGCTTTGTGGAAAAGCGTCCGTGCCAATCTAGACGCTCTTTTCCGCAAATGCTTTTAACGGAAAAACTTTTCCGCTAAAAGCATTTGCAGAAAATCATGCCAGTCTAGACGTAGCCCATGAGTAAAGGGAAGAGGAGGAGAATTTTTTTCAACAAGTTTAAGCAGGAGGAGTTTGGGAAATACCACTGCATTCCTGAGTATCTGGCAAGAAAGTAAGAACTCCTAAATTCGACCAACAGGGAAAGAAACGTGGCTGTCCATGTGACGATGCCACTGCAACAAGCACTGATAAACTGTTTCACTGATTAAAATTGCAGATTGCCTTGTAGAGACTTCAGCACCAAGAAATGTAGTGGAAGTGTCAAACAGGGAAAAGGAACAAGCTAGATTAGACAGAGGACAGAGCTGGCATTTCAGCCAATAGGTGGAGAAATGTACCCCTGCTAACACCACTAATCTTAGGCAGTACGCTCTGTTAAGGTGTTGGAAACAAGGCATTAACACTTTTAAACCAATAGCCTTTATATTACTTGCATCTGGATAATATTTAGCACACATGGGATAAGGATATCTGTCCTCAGTACACGAGACTAAAACTAGAGTATAGTCAACCTCACAATTGCTCCCTCCCGCCCGGGCCCTGGGTCATACTCCTCCAACTGCCAATTCTCCTCTTCCTCCTTCCCATTACCTCACGCTCCATATCACCTCCCTGTTCCCAGACACTTCCAGAACACATCCTTTTAGTCAGTTTTCCAACTGCCAGCCCAGTCCTCAAGAGTAAAATTGGGAGCCAGTTGCTCAACTGACAGCTTATGTTTGAGGGAGGTCCACGAGCTGCCGACAAAGATTTGGGTGGAATTCTTTCTAGACGAATTCTCATCTACTTCCCAATTGTCAGAAATTTTTGTTGATCCTTCAGCTAGTTTCCAAAGGTGGCTCTTTTGAAAGAGGATGAGAATTCTAAGGATTGATACCAAGCAAAGAACAACCCTCTTTGTGTCTCGGTCATCAAAAGATGGGGTGAGCAGGAACAATCAGCCAGTGCTGTTAAACAGCATGATGATATTGTCAGGAAAATGGTCAAAAGAAAATAGCCCTGTTCCTGAAGTACTTTGCTTTACAGTTTACACCATTACATGTTATGGCTGAGAAAGAGACCCTGTGTAATAAGTTACAAAAGATAAGAAATAAGGATTCATATTTTTAATACAAAAAATAAAGCTACATCTGTCCATTACCCCCGAAGCACCATAGTTTTAGTGATGACTTCTTCTCTAGCCAAATAAGCTATCACAAAAGTCTTATTTTTCGTCAGTCCCTTCCTTACTCATCAAATACTTATCTTCTACATTGCTCAAGTTCAAGACAGAACTGAGCAGAAATGCCCCAGCTGTTCTACAGCTGTGCAAACTAAGTTTGTTTATTATGGTTACAATTTTGATCCATGAATGATTTTCCCTTTCTACCAAGCTTGTCTTATTTCCCATTAACATATTTAATAAAGCAGTAAAACAGCCTAGAATGCCATACAATATGTATTTCTGATATCAGGCCTTTTTCATATTAAAATATAATCATTTCTATAACAATAAATACCAGAAACACTGTTATATTTCAGTGTAGCATAGATACTGTAATCTCATCATATCTAACCTGCCCTAACTTGTTATAAGTGTCTGTAAAGTTTGCATGCTTGTAAGCACCCAGAACAATAAGAATCCTTAATTGTCTGAAGCAATCTAGGTGGGATGGGAACAAAGTTCCACTTATTTCTCTATGGAATAATTAAGCGTTAGTATCAAAGGGAAGAAGTTTGCATGAAATAGTCAGTTTTAGGGAAGAAATCCAGAACAATCCAAGTGGAAGAGGAAGCCACAAGAAAGTCGTAAGGTCTTGCACAATCCTTAACCATGCTGATTGTGAGGACTGTGATATGGCAGCCACATGAAAGCTGAAGTATTTGCAATTCTCAATAAAATTAAATGTTACAAACAAGGTAATCTTCCACTTAAGATGCTCTAAAATTGATCATCAGGACATGTGACTAAGAAAGCCTTCGGTCTTGCATGCCACAAAGGACTAAACAGTTAAAGCTGAAGTGAATGCAGTTGCAGTATAGTCTTTCACAGAGCAACTTTCATCAAACAGCTTTCTGCAAGTCTTCCATTTCTAAATCAAATAAAAACCACATTGAATCAGGCTTGTTGAAACAGAAAACTTGAACAGAGTCCAATAACTGAGCTAACACCCTCTGGTACAGCTGAATGCTCAAAGAGTTACCAAATAACAACGCTATAGTAACCAAAAGCCAATCAGAAACAAGTTTAGTACACACACAAAAAAACAAAACCTGGCAGCATAACGGGGATTTCTGTAAAATCAAGGTTCCAGATAAAGATCTTCAGTTACAGTATAAATGCTAGCTAGTCACAAGTTCCTTCATTATAATTTTGGCCCAATATATGTCAAAAACTTGTTACTGGTACAGTTCTGACTAGCACTGTTTGAATTTTGGTATATTTAAATAAAAACCACTCCTCCTTAAACTGGAGGGAAGCTGGGCCTCTACTCCAAAGCCTTAGGGCAAGACTTCATACTTGCAGACAAACTGAAGCAACCTGTTTTTCTTCAAAAGGCTATAGTGTGCTCCTGAATTACTATTTCTTTATTTCAACAAGAAGTCTCAGTTATTCTTTGTTGAGACAAGACATAGTTCAGACGTGTGCAGGTCAATTGCCAACAATCTTACTGTTCTGTGTCTGAGCCCCACCCTTCCATCAATATACATGCCCATCAGGCAATCTGGTGGCAATGCTAGCAGATAACGTTGAGTTAGACAGCCTCAGAACTCTTGGTTTCTGAGCACAGCTCATGAAAAAAAAATGTGCATAGGTTCCAGGAAAAAATGAGGTTAGCTGAACAAGCAACAATCGTTATGTGAGGAGGCAAACCTTCTGTACCAGCCTGAAAACGTGCACCACTCTTACGGATTTCAGAAAAAGGTGTTCCCAAACTTATGGTGCAAATAGACAATGAAAGAATAGAAGCTATTAAAATCAGGAGCCCATTTGGTTTAACTCTGTCAACCACACCACCAGGGTGTGGCAACTCAGGAACTCTGCTCAGAGGCTAAGAGTAAAATGGGGAGGAGGAAGAAAAGAATAACTAAAAAGAAACAGAATGTCTGTTCTGAATAGAACAAGGACAAAAAGTCATTTATTTGAATTTGATTGTAACTGAAAATACAAGGATCAGGGTGTATCCACAAGCGGTATTCCAGAGCTCCAGGGCAAATGAAGCCATAAGTTGATTACATTTTGAAAGTAAAAGATTTCACAGGCCATATCTGAAAAACATTATTTCAACCCACTAACAGTGCACACTATTTCGGTCATTTATTTCCACATTCAAACATGCTGTTTATTCAGAGTCCTAATGCATGTTTCAATAGTCTTATGAACAGCGAACCCTAAAACTGTACTGTACCTGTTGGGCAGTGAGCCAAATTTGTGCACAGACTCCCTGAAAGCACCCTAGCAATACTCCTATGGCTAAAATAGAGAGTCATATTCCTCGCCCACCCATAGCATGGGTGGCACAAACCCACTCTGGTACTGATCGGAACAGGGCCGAACACAGAATGGCACTCCAGCCACATCACGGTACTCCATGACACATAGACAGAACGTATGTGTGTGTTGTGGGGCAGATGGTTTAAATCAACTGAAGTTCAGCTATACTGATTGATTATTAAAGCTACTGTACCCGAAGAGGAAGTTTGTAGGGGCAGAAACCGCTAGAATAGCTGACTGGCTGTTGCTTGCACTTACACTGCTTCACCACGCCCTGAGAAAGCAAGGGTGAATTAGTACTGTTTCTCCAGCAGGGAACCATTTACCGGGTTATTAACAGCACAGGCATCAAAATGTTATTGTGTCTTAACATTAGCTTAGGAACATCTGAATGAAATTTAAACTAAAAGCTGACATCTCAGCTGACTGTCTAAAATAAAATGTCTCTACAAAACTTCTAGTTGGAAAGTGAATAATGGCCACTGTGGGAAAATTGCTCATTCATTTAAAGAGCCTTCATGTATTTAATAGGGGAAAAAAAGGGGGTTTAGTTCTTAAATGACTTTTTAGGAGTTTGAGACCCACTCCTCCTGCTAGGAGTTATGAAACTCCCTGTCGCCCACCCCAGCAAAAGATAATGAGGAGATTTCAATATGGTAGGTTCCAGCGAACAAGTTTAAAAGTAAGACTTTGATCTGACCTACTGAACCCCCTGAATGTGCAACAAAACAGTGAGAAGAACTTCAAAAAAGAGAAAAACAAGAAAAATTCAAAAATGTTAAAAAAAAAAGACGGGGAGGAAGGGGGGAACCTTTACTCACTGGAGACCACACCCAACACTGCAGTCTAGCTATTCCCTGATTACCTACCCTGCCAGCTAACATCCTAGCAAAAATGCTGGTATTTGCAGCATGAGCAATTGTGAGACTTTATTATTTTCTTGCAGATGCTCTTTACAGCCTCCTCCGTTGCTGCCATTCAGCTTCTCGCCCCGCCGGAACCCGCTGCCAGCCACACAGTTATCTTCGATACCCCCCTCGCTTTCTTCCCATCCAAC